CAGCACAGTGCATAAGCGAAACAACTAATCAGAATCCTTTCCTTCCATTCCCTAAAAAAGAAGGATTTCGCGTGATTGGTTGATTCCGTTATGCACTATACTATATTGTGCGTTATGCGAGAGAGTCTGTGTTGCGGTCATTAGGGTATATCCACACAAACTTGCATAGCCGCATAAACGTATGCATAAAGATTATCCAATCACATTTTCACGTGCGTCTATAGGAGAAATGTAAGTTTGTGTGGATATACCCTTAGGTTTCTCTCTGGCCGCACAAACATATGCATAAAGAAAATTATCCAATCATTTTACATGCGTCTTCATGAGAAAAATGCGATTGGATAATTTTATGCAAGTTATGTGAATATATCCTAAATGCTCCTTTACTCGATCCATCGAATTTAGACTCGAGTATCGATATCAGCAACAGCACTGTTTACAATTCATGGTGGAATTAAACATGAATGGTAGTATTAATTCTACCATGTTTACAATTGTTATCGAGAAAACATACAATAGATTTAACTATCACACATCCGATTGTTACGCTTGAGCAACAGCTGTTTTCAGATCGGACCGAATCCTGGGGTAATGACGGTATCGAAAGTAACCTCCTTTCACCGGTGCCGACGGCAATCGCGCGATCGTCGCGCGCAACGGGACGTCGTGTGATCTGACCGTTTGGATTTTTCGCGCTAAATCACCCGTTTTAAGACCCGCGCGCGAGACCATCGCAAAACCTGCGATGTTTCACCTGCCGTAGACGGTCGCAACATGTTCGTGACGAACCTGAAGAAGGATTTCTACGATGTGATACAAAGAAGCGTGAGTCGACGTTTCATTCTACCTCACAGCGGTATATTGCGTGTCCGTTGTGTATAGGTTACTCCTCGCAACCTGCTTGCATCGTCTCTCTTCTCGAGCCTTCTCGGTTGCCATCTCGGCTTTTCTGCAACGTTACAATCACTCATCAGGCTTTTTCATTCTTTATTTCTTTATAAATTATGCAGTTACATAATTTTTTCTTTTCTTTGAATTGTTGAAGACATGGATTGCATAGAGGTCTCTAATCATTTTTTTGTCTTTTTTATTAACAATAAATGTGTTTAATAATAATAAATGTAGTATGTATTGTCTCTTATAGGCTTCACAACAAATAATTTTTTAAATTAAGTTTATACTTTAATTCATAATTGTATACTATTCTCTCTCTTTCCTTTGGATAAATAGAAAATCGTGTACTTTTTTTCTTTATAATAAAAAAAGTATCTTAATAATAAAATTTCTTTTTAATAGACATAAATTATATATATATATATATTTATTGTATACTTTACAATAAATAATTTTTCATAAATTATATTCTCTGTAGTTAGATATAGTTTTATTTTTCCATTAGATAAATAAAAAGCAGAGTTGACAAGTTAATTTTTTTTTTGACTAAGTTAAGTTAAAGAACGGTCTTGAAAATTTAACTTAGTTCGGATACAAGTTATAATAAAATCAATTGAATTAGAAGTTAAGTTAATAAAAAAAAATAACTGAAAAGTTAAAAGTTAAATTTGATCTGAACAAACAATCCAAAAAAATTCGACTGTTTTACATTTTTCTTATTTTTCTTATTTTTTTCACATAGTATGTTCATTAAAAAATAATTTTGTTATAACTAACGATTATACAATATAAAAGACAAAATTATTAAATTATACTCATCCCCTTGCATTGTATCTGAAGGTTAACTTCAAAAATGTCAAATTAAAAATTAATAGTTATAAATAGCTATAAAATTATAATAAGTTACAAAATTAAGAATTAAAAATGTAACTAAGTTAATTAACTTTTTAAATCAACTTTTAATTTTTTAAGCATTAATTTTTTAGCACTACCTAACCTTGCATATGTGATTCTTTTATTTTTTATTAATAATGAATATAATTCAAACAATACATCTGTTTTTATACACTTTATGACAAATAATTTTTTGTTAAATTTATATTTATATATTAAATTTACACTTATATATAAAACTTATATTTTTGTTTAATAATTAGAAAATTACCTTATGTTTGATTTCTTCATTTTTCATTAATAATAAACGATGTAAATAGCATATTGTATGTTTTATAATAAATAATTTTCTGTTAAATTAATATTCACTTTTATGATGTAAAAATATAATATTCAAATATTGTTTAAATAATTCTGTTATAGAAATCTTTAATTTTTTCCTTTGCAGAGGTGTTTACTTTTAGTGAATTTTGATGTTGATGCAATCTGTGCCTGTAGAATATTGCAACAACTTTTCAAAAATGATCATATGATATATACTCTTGTACCTGTTCGAGGTATTCAGGATATGATAAATGCTTTCGATGAAAATTGTGAAGAGGTACTAATGGAAGGATTATCTATAATCATTATCACATTGATAATAATAATTAATTTAAGAAAAATTTCAGATAAAGAATGTTGTTATGATAAACTGTGGTGGTACTCTAGATTTAGTGGAATTACTTCGACCAAACGAATCTGTGGTATTTTTTATTCTCGACAGTCATAGACCTTATGATTTAACTAATATATATTCAGAAAGTCAAATACGTATTCTTGGTAAACCCGACGAAGACAATGAGATTCCAGAATATAACGATATATATCGAGATGATAGTGTATGTAACTAATCGTTTCATTTAGTCTCATTCTCTTTTTCTATTTTCTATAATTCTGTTCAATTATATACAGTCAGATGAAGAGGAGGCAAATGATGAATCAGACGATGAAACTGAAGGTAGGCAAAGTAAAAGGCGAAGGTTGAATGAAGAAGATATATTAAAGCGAAGCGAACGAAGAAAATGGGTTGAAAACCGAGAAACAATTCTTTTTAATTATTCACAATACAGTTACTATGGCAAATCAGTACGTATTATAATTTATGATCTCGATAACAATATATAATAATATTCTATTTCAAAAACTTGTTTTGTTTTATTACAGAGCGCAATAGTAGTATTTGAAATGGCTTGGAATATGTCAAAGGATAATTTAGACATGGCATGGTGGGCCATAATTGGTTCCACAGAACAATCTATCCTCAGCAAGGTGGAGTCACGAATAACCGTTCTTGAGGAAGGTTCTCTGCAGGCACATGTTTCAAGATTAACACACAGGCAAGGAGTTGATATTGACAAACAACAGCAGCAACAGAGTATTGTTAAAGTTACTTACGATAAAGAGTATCCTTTCATATATACATATATATATATATATATATAAAATTCATTTTTTACTGAATAATTTAATTTGACGTATGTGTTATATTAATTTCTTAATGATAACAAATAGTCTGCAATTAGCATTATATCGTCACTGGACTGTTGAAGCCAGCTTGAAATATTCAATGTCAACTGCAGTGTCATTACGTTTATGGTCTATTAGAGGGGAACAGCGTTTGAAGGAAGTTTTAGCTGAAATGGGATTACCTCTGGTGCAATCCAGACAATTATTTCGTGCAATGGATCTTACTTTTAGACAAGAATTTAAGCAGATGGTTGAAAAATTAGCTGGCAAATATAATGTTAATAGCATCATTGGCACTAGTTTTACTCTCCAATATGGTTATCGTTTTAAATATTGTGCATCAGATATGGTATATGCTATGTTGGCTTTGCTGGATTCGACGGTAAGTCAGCAATCATTAAATACGTTATAATATTTTTTTAAGTATGTACATCACCATACTTTTACAGACAAAGGACAGACAACCACAACGTTGTTTCTTAGACACGCTGGACTGTTTATCACGTACAAAAAAGGATATTTTAGAAAGTGGCATTGAAAAAGCAAAGCTCATGCTTCATAACATCTTTAAAACTGCACAGAATATATTAGAAGCTAAACAAGTAAAAAATTTTGGTTCCTTTTTATATATCAATGTGCCGGATGGGAATGTAGATAATTATTTATTTGCACATCCTCATCCTTTGATTATGCTGGCCCAATTTGCTCTCAAAGCATATGTAAATTCTTCAAGAAATAGACGCGCTTCTGAGTGGCCTCTTGTGGCCTCTGCGATATTTGACGCAGAGGAAGGATCCTGCCTTCTTGTTGGTATACCGCCAGTTTGTGAAGATCAACCCAGAAGGTAATATTTATGAGTGTAAACAAAAAATTTATATTATTTAATCATGATTTTTTTTGTTACAGTTTATTTGGGAAAGCATTCGAGCAAACTGCAAAGAATAAAAATTGTTACATTGAGGCAGACTACTTTGATAGTACAAGTAAGTATGAAATGGGATTTTATAAGCTACATAAGTCAGAATGAAATTTATTATAGTGAATATTTTTCCTTTTTATAGTAATAAGACTGAAAATCGAGGAAAGACCTAAGTTTCTCGACGCTTTAGCAGCACTTCTTGCGTAATAATTATCATAGATGTATAATTATCAGAGACGAACAATATGACAACCACACTTTAATCAAATTTTAACTAACACGACTATTAAAACAACTCGATGCACTTTATTGCTCATGACATATGGTGCCTTTTTTTTAATAACGCAAATTTATTATACATTTTTTAACCAGCGACGGTAGTAGCTTTATAATTGTAAAATATTTAATATATAAATTAGGACTGATATGTGATTTAATAACATCATGTAAGTATAATGTATGTTGTATAAAAAATGCTAGGATACAACAAGTGATAAGTAAGAAAAAGATTTCAATAATATTTGCATTAGTAACTTAAGAAACATAATACTTTTATAAAAAGAAAGAACTTGACAGAGAAACTGGAAAAAACGCAGATATAAATAAAGTCGTTTGCTACATCGGACAATTGATATGATGCTCATCATTACCTACATGTTAAATTTATACAAGATAAATATGTAGTTATACAAATATTGTGTCAAATATTTAAATACCGACAATGATATTGCTTATATATAAGCTAACAATGAATAGGCTATCTCATAAATACAAGAACTTCCAGTGCGCTTATCCGGTATTTATTTAGTAATTTATAATATATAATATTAATGTATCCGTGTGCATCTACGTACACTTAAAAATACAATTTGATCGATTTAGTTTTGACTGATATAATACATATTCTTTTGTTTCATCCGCGAAGAATCATATAAGAACAAGGCTGCGTTAGGAAATTTTACCTGGGTGCACCTATATTCTTTATCTTTGTTTAATATTCGTTAACAAAGATAAAATGATATATACAGGTGCACTTTGAACGCAGCCCAAGTACATACCTATATACACGAATCTCTTTATATGTAAAGAACGATGATATCACAGAGACAGGAATAAAAAAAAGGAAGGGATATTTTTTGTTTGAACAATTCTTATAAAATTTGTCAAGTACAAATTTTGTGTGTATCTAATTAACGTTTTATATGACTTTAGACCGGCATACGTTCGTTTGTTTTTGATGTTTTATGCACTGCCGCTATTTTATTTATCGGCAGTTTATTATTGAGAAATCCATCGATGAATTGTTGTACAGAGTCCATGGTAATCTCGGCACCGTATTCCATTACGACATACAACCCTCGCGGAATATCGATAGCGGTTAAAAGAGGTACTGCATCATCCAAACCAATAAATTCACGAAGAATATCCGATGTTTCACACTGTGTTAAAAAATCATTAAATTATAATCATATTACTTTACTATTAAATGTGATTAATTAAAAAATATTTCATATTTAAGAAATATTTGCAGTTTTAGTATATTTACATTTTGTAATTATAAAACTTTTATTCTCACAAATATTCGAAAAAATCATACACACACACACATATAAAAATCATATAAAAATTGTATTAATTAATTATATTACAGTATCTATTTAATATATATGTCTCGTCCTATGTCTAGGTATGTATATGTATATATATATATATATATATATGTATACTTACGTCTAAAGCTATGTAAAACTGCAAAGAATTGTCATCAGGATCATCATAATTTAGATCATAATCAGGTTGATCTCTTCTATACGCTTGTGCAGCTGGTAGTAATACGCTTTCTCCAAATTGAATCTCACAATCTTCTCCCTCTGTAAAACAGAAGAGCATTAAACAACTTAGTATATTTTATTCTGATTCTCACTCTCTAATTCTTATTTAAAAAATTATATACATTTTTTATATATATTTACACACACGCGCGCGCGCGCACACACACACACACATACATATATATTTATATATTTTATTTATATCTTACCAACAAATAAGATAATAGCTGGAGCATCGTGTAACGACGTAGCATACTTTTCTGTTAAAATATTCACTAATCTACTGCTCCAAGGAAAATTCTGAAAATGTAAATAGTTTTTATAACATTAACAAAATTATTCTGCAATAATAAAAATCTCAAAGTATTTCATAGACATTTATAGATATACTTTTATAATTTATTTTATTTTATTCTCATTTTTTTACTATCTTTTATAATTAATTTTTTAATTTTTTTTTTTTTCAAATTACCAGTCCCTCTGGATCCTCAATTAACTCGGCGCGCCCATCCAGAGTAATTATATTGTCGCGAGGATCTAGAATGACCAGAGTAGGTATTGCCTGAACGTCGAAAGCTCTTGCCAATTTTCGACGTCTTTCTTCTTGATTAAAAGGTATCCTCAACCAAGGCATTGTTTCCGTGTATGCATTGTAGGAATCCTCACTCCTAAAATAAAAACACATTGAAATCTTTTACAAACAAAAATATGCGAAAGTAAAAAGAACAAATATAACAATACATAGAAAAAAATATCCATTAAATGAGGAACAAAGTGTATTATACAGTCAGAGTGTATTATAAAATAGTATCAGCGTATTATAAAAGCCTACCTGTCCGAACTCACAAAAATTACTTCAAAATCATGGCCTCTCTCCTGAATTCGTTGGTACGTATCCACGAGTTGTGGGGTAAATGCTTTACAAGGCGGACACTAAATTTAAAAAACGCAATGTATTAATAACATGATTCAAACGCATAACATAAGCATTTGTAATTAGGAATACATATAATCAAGTATATTCAAATAACTCAGATTGAATAAAAAGTATCTTAGAAAACATTTTACATTCTTCTATAATCAGAAGAATATAGGATTATTTGAATAGTCAAGCTAATTAAAAAATTAGCATTTCGTTTTGTAAGAATTAACCATAATTATAAACAGTTAGCTTCGGATTATATTTCTCTTGAAACGGATGTATATATATATATATATATATATATATACACACACACACACACACACATACACATACACACATCGGGTATCTGAGACCACCTGTACACCTTTTATCTCGGAAACAGAGCATTTAAGAAAAGAACTTTTCATAAAAGTTGTATGGTTTCGAGAGTACATAAAATGTCATTGGTTTGACCTTGAATCGTTTGAAAATCATATATAAAGGTCATATTAATTTTTCCAAATGGTACATCTTATTTTTTTACTGTGTATTCTTGTAGTTTAGTTCGAGAACTCTCTTTTTCTAAAATATTATAATCAAATATTTTCTCATTAAGAACTTTATGAAGAACGAAAAATCACATATATAAGCGTAGGTGGGATCGAATCTACAGATCACGAGTCAACCAGCACGAGCGGTAAGCTATTCGACGATCCTGTGTGTGTGTGTGTGTGTGTGTGTGTGTGTATATACAGGGTGTTTCTAAAATAACGCTCACTAATCGTATTATTCTTAATAAAAAACTGAATCGAAAATTCCTCTACCATTTTGCAATTTTCGCAATATTTTTTTTAGTTACTCACTGAGCATAATATCTAAAATCGACATATAAGACAATTTTCAAGATATCTTTAAGAGTTCTTTAAGAAACATCTTCAAAATGTTTCACAAAGAACACTGAAAAATATCTTAAAATTATCTTATATATCGATTTTATCCATTTATTCGGCAACCTTTAGAAATTAATATCTCTATTACGAAAATTACAAAATGATACAGGATTTTTCGATTCAGTTTTTTATTAGGAATAGCACTATATGAGTTATTAGTTTTTCACAAATACCCTATAATATGTATTTAACTAAAATTGTCGCAGGAAGCGATGAAACATTTCTAACATTCACTTGAGTATTATAGCTCACCCAATGTGCACTGAAATAAATCCCCTTGAAACAGTGGCGAAGCTCCTCGTGCAACATAGGCTCATTACTGTCCCGTGCGCCGCACGACAGAAGAGGTCCATCCTCAAGAGCAGCTTTCGGATGTGGAGGTCTCCAAGGGAATTCCGCACCGGTAGGATCGGCGATAGTTCGCTCAACTCCTCCCCTTGTCACAATGGACCCATTGGACGCTTCCAGTAAAATCAACGTCGGTACGCCCGCTTTTATCCGATATCTTCGAGTCAATCTGGTCTGAAAAAGATTAATATGTTACGAATAACAGTCGGATGGCAACGATAAAACATTAATTACAAAACTGAAACCTTCTCGGAAGGTCTGATTACATAATAGTCCTTATCATATCAATTAAAACCGTAAGACAAACCGGAATTGCGATAAAATATTCGGAAATTTCTCTTTCAAACGATATATGTTTTTACATTCAGTAGGACTTGTCAGATGTTTAATTATAATGTTTCCTTTACATTTCGCGCCTTTTCATTTCGCACGATTGAAATATATACATATCGCACGTAATATCTGATATTATTTAATACAATCAATGTGTGTGTGTGCATGAGTGTATATCCAAGTATAATTACCATGCTGCAGGAAGGAAGGAAATAATGGTCTCATTCAATAATACCAATAAACAAGATGCGCTAAAAGTATATTTCTCCAGAGACATTCTGCAGCAATAATCGCGAACAGCTGCAGTCGGAATTGCATTAACGATGCAAGCGATATTACCGTACGGATGATATTACTCGAGGAGTAATAAGAGTAATGGAATAAGAGTAAATGGAATAAAGTTGCACATGGAAGGCAATTACTGATGAAAATGTATCGGTTTATCGTATCGTATGTAATAGTATCATTTCTCTCAGTAATTTGCTAAATAACAGATTTTCCATTATCTTTCTTTCATTGTTATATTTACAATGATAATATTTTACGATAATATAATATAATATAATATATCATTCGTAATCCAGTGGTGTACATAACATATTTTTTCGAAAATTATTTTACAGTGAAAATCACGATTTCGAATTTTTTATGCTGCGCAACATTAATTCGTTATCTGTGCTAATCATCAATTAATTTTTTAAAGGAAGAAAGTAAGAAAGTTTTCAGCTTTTAACAGTTTTCCTTCAACAATTTTTGCATTACCGTCCATTTCTATCAATATGGATTAACTTTAATCTCGGTTTAATTTATTTTTTTATAATAAATTTAAAAGAATATAAAAAATACATTAAAGTTAATCTATGATAATAAAAATAAACATGTGACAATGATGATTTCGATCAAATGCTGATTAACTTATCTGTATTTGATCGAAATCACCATTGTCACATGTTTATTTTTATTATACTTATCTATTTTATAAATGTGGATAAATAATCCATTTTTTACGTTTAATAAAATGGGATAAAAAGATTATAACTAGAAATAACGGATTATATTAATAAATTTGCTTTACGCAATTCTATCGGTTGAATTAATCTTTAATTAAATTAATCGAAACTTGCTTAATGCATGAATTCGTCTGCATTGGAATATTCAGAGCGCATGTTTCCAATTCAAATGTTCGCGTATTATGATTAATTAACTGTTCATTTTTCTTACTTCGTTTTGTTAAACGACAAAAATTAATGACTCTATCCATGTTAAGATGATAAATATTATGTGATGTGTTAATTAAATTAATCGGAATCAGATCAAAGCGAGGATCAAAGTTACCCGAAAGTATTTATCTTATGGGTAATAAGTCGATTAATGTCTTTTCAAAGTTACTTGCTTTTATTCCCGTATTATTTTCGATATTAACGCCTTCAGTTATAAAAAAAATCTTATTGATTTACATCACATCCCCGCAATAAAGGTGACGTAAGTCGGAATTTTTCGAATTCGTATTATATTCGTATTATGTATGTGAATTGTGTTCTATATATATATATATATATATTTATATAGGCTTTCAATCAGAGGAAAGTGATACAAGTTGAATTAAAAAATGCTTCTCTCAAAGAAAAATAACAAATAAAAATACTTGAAACAAGCAATTCGTAATTAGATCTAAGTTACATAACTTAAATGCTTAATATTGCCATAAAAAATATTTAGTTTTAAAATACGCAATTTTCTTTCCTCTCTTTTGGACAATTTTATATTTTTTTACTTATGTCACTTTTCTTGCGGGAATTTCATTTTTTTCCGGTTTATCGCAAGAAATGGAATATATTATAATTTTATCTTTTTACATCAATTTAATAGAATACAAAAACGCATATTTTTCAAAATGAAACATAATATCTGAGGCTACATCTCCAGTTTCTTCATCGATAAAACTCGCTGACGCAGCTTCTCATCATAATCCCGTCGATCGTCGTATCATAATTCAAGCGAAAGGAGAATCCGCGCGCGCGCTCCGTACGGAGTCTAAACCTTCCAATCTACCCCTGAAACTGCATTAAGTTGGTCGACCCTCTTCTGAAACATTCGGAGCCCTTCGTCTCCGATATCTCGAGGGAGGATCGGTCGGGATTTCTCGTATCGCGCGCGGGATGCTCCGTTACGGGTTACGGCCGCACATAAAGGGTGGAAGGAGGGGAGCATGGAGAGGGTGAGATAGAAGAGGCATAAGGCGAGAGAGAAGGGTCTTGTAGCGAACACGATGGATCGCGCTTACGTTATCGCAAGTATAATACTTTTACCAGGAAAGAGAGAGAGAGAGAGAGAGAGAAAGAGAGAGGGGGGAGAAGGGGGGGTAGAGAGAGAGGATGCAGAAGGGAAGCAGGGAGCTGCGCAGAGGCACGTCCCTTCATATATTTCCCGCTCCAGCGTCACGTGGTGCCCTACGACGTGGTGGTGCTTTCGCGCTCGCCCTCTCTCGACTGGTCGATAACGCGTGCGTCCTCCCTTGCTACCGCTCAGCAAACGACGCTATCGTTATTTTCCCCGTTCAACTCTGTACACCGAGCATCCACGAGCACCGTTATAAACGCCCGTCCGTTATTAGACGAACCCTCACCAGTACTCACCATACTCGACGACGAAACGGTATCGCTCGAGATCCAAATTGAAATTACTCAGAACGTAATAGAACGTTCGAAACTTTTTATGAAAAAGTCCGATATTAGCTCCTTCATTAGGTAATTTATCTGAAGTGGAACCTTCCCCTTCTTATTCCTTATCGACATCCTTAAAATTCTCTGACGGAGTAATTGCCTTCCACGAAGACATTTCTTAATATCTAAATATGTGTATTCTGAAATATATATACGGGATAAGGATCTCATACATGAATTCGCTTACATATCGGAGCATTTTCGGTCGCGTATCGTGTCTTAAATGAGTATTAAATATTTAGAATAAACAATAATTTTGTTTAATAATTTTTTTTTAAATAATCATATAATGAAAAATAGAAAATAATATACATATTATTTTGTTATAAATTAATTATTATCAAGAGACACGGTTTCGGGTGTCAAGTGCTCGATTATTACATTTTTTTATATATACACATGTATGATTATGATAATAAATTATTATCGAATAAATCAAATTCTACAAATTTTTAGATATGAAGCATGCGCTAGAAATATGCTCTGATGTGATTAAATTCACATGTGTCAAAGCATTTACGACTCCATAAATTACGATTTCCGTGCATACACACTGCATGCACCTAATATAACGGACAAGCATTTGTGACGTCCAATGTACATTCCCTATATACCATCGCGACATTGCACTCTATATGCTTCGTCTTTCTCTCTCTCTCTCTCTCTCTCTCTCTCTCTCTATTTCTGTCTTCCTCTTCCGTGTCTATCTCATGTTTTCTCTCGTCGTAGAGCTTTTCCCTCTTGTTCATTACTGACAAAATCACCCTGGTTCGCCAGTGGAAGCGAGCAACCGAGCTAAAAAAGAACCGAGGGAGGACGAGAAAAAAAGAGGCGAGACAGAGATCACTTTTGACTGGTTCGCACGCGTTCAATCGTCTCTCCCTCTCACCCCCCCCCCCTTTATGTATACAGAGACCGCAGTCTAGTTCGACGCCTCTGCCGTGCGCGCTCAACTGCAGCCGTCGCGACGACAGCCGCATGCTCTCTCCCTTTGAATTCCCTCTCGGTTATATCCAAGGGCGCTGTTCATAAGCAACGTCCACAGATAAGCGAATGTCGCGTGTAGGTAGCTCGTTACGGTCAGCGTGGGATTTGCCGCTTTTTGCAGGCTGGTGCGACAACACCATAGACAACACGAACGAGATTCTCCCTTCCCACTGTGCGCAGAGCGATAATAAATCTGAGATGTTTAACAAATAAAAAAAGAAAAAAAGAGAAAAGGGAATTTATATCCCTGTGGTGGTTGTTATCGATAAACGAGTCGCTTGGAACGAACAGCGACCAAGTGTAGACGACATGTAGGAAGCGTGATTTCCCGTGACGCTTCTAACCGACGACGTGTTAAGTACATGTTGAAATGATCTGCCGAGAGATCTTCAACTACCCCGTCACATTTTGAGTAGATTTGTTTCCTTCCAGTTTCCTAGGTTGAGTATTTTGTTGATAAATTCGATCGCGCTAATCGGAGTAATTTATACAAATTGTCTTCGACATCAGTGTCTTCGACTGCCTTCGACGAATAAAAAAAAATTGCCTTAAATTCATCCGTTGCTTCGCTTCTATTAATAAATGAAGAGTATTCGATTATAAGGAAGATAACTGCCGCCGTAAAAAGCACGACAACCGCGCTGCTCGAAGTTCCTCGTTGAGATTCATTTTTCCCCTGCAAATATAGGGACGGCTTTTCGTGCGAGCAACCTGTGCATTCACCATTTTTCCTTTGATCACAGACTAACAGGCCATGCACAATTCATAGACATGCACCGTAGTAAAAAAAATACAAAACAAATTGCAAAAGAAAACCGCGACATGGAGTAGCAGTAAGATTTTGCTTGTCTACGTACATTTAACACTGCAGAATCAATCTTGACACTTGTTTTTTTTAATAATTACTGATTATTCGAAACAGTAATTAATTGCCAAGACTAATAAAATAATTGACAAATAGAAGCTTGTGAATATAATAATGTGTCATATGTATTCGTAAATTTATTAATATAATATTATATAATATTATATAATAACCTTATATAAATATAATATTAATAAACTTTAGATTAAGTGTTAATTTTCAAAATATTGACAACATTTTTAAGAGACAACATTATTATGTTTATTACGAAATGTTAATTTAAACAATTTACATTTATTACACATAACAAAAATATGTTAATTATTTTTTATCGCGCTGATACGTAATGCATAAACAATCTATTTAAGTAACACTTATCGCTCTCAATGTCTTTTTTTATATTTGGAAATCTGAATTCTTATCAAAATCAATTGAATTTGCAATTGTTCTCTTGACATTATCGGTCATATTGTCTTGTAGATTCAAAAATTATATCGAGGAAAGGATCATTTTGATATGCAGTTGTATTAACGTTAACATTAATTCTTTCTTGTTTGTTTAAGCTATTTACTAATCAGATATTCATTAAGAAGATATACAATCAATATACAAGAAGTATTTAATTATATCGTGATAATCGATTAACAATTACACGGTACTAAATGAAAGATTAATCTCGTACGTAAGTAATGGAAGATTAATCCATCATGCGCCAAAATGGAATGATAGATCTAGGGAAATGAACCGGAAAGGAGGAAGCAGTAGAGGGAGGAAAGAGGAGAGAACAAGAGAAAGAGAGAGAGAAAGAGAGAACTATCAGCTAATCTACATGATAACTTAATTAGCAAATTTCGAATAATTAGTAGAAATAGTCTAATCTATATCTCTCCGACCATTTTTAAATTAGCATTTTTAAATTAGCATTTTGGCGAGTTGCTTTGTTGATTCTATCGTGAATAAACAATTACGTTATGTTATTGACATACATCCATTAAATCGGATACAATCCAGATCTAATACACTCAGATATTTCCAACAGAGTTTACAAGATGTTTATAAAAAGATTGCTTACACAGAATTTCAGATGATTTCAAATCAAAGCTGATTTCTCTAATTAAAATTCAAAACGCAATATATGAAAGGAAAGCGAGCGGAGAGATGATTTAAAATTCCATGACTCTCGTTCGGATCTTCGGACGAGAAAACAGTGCTGTAGTTCACACTTCATATTTTATGAACAATCTCATTGCACGAATGAAGGAAAACATACACCATGCACAAACTCATCTCCGTCTTTCCATTTCTTCATCTTCAGAGTTCCGATTCTTTTCATTATCGCATGGAACGAAAGGGAACACTATTTGAGAAAGATATGGGTCGACCATCTATCTGGAATAGAAGGCTCCCCAGTCGTCAGTTCTATCCCTTTTTTTTTCCACACGGAATGACTTTCTCGTTAGTTTTTGCTTGCGGATAAAGACGCGCGTTTCCTTACGAGACGATTTAAAAATGTCGAGCTATGAACAACCTTGCTGATTGAAACATCGAAGCGATGATGGATCACCTAGAAGCCATAGATTGTACTGTAGTCTAGTCTATCCTCTCGTGAAAATATATGATAGAGAAGATAGAAAAATACTGAAAATAGGCGCGAAAAAGGTGAATGACCGCCAGAAATGATAAGCAACGTGATAAACCACACTATTAAATTTTGTCCGATGATGTTTCATCAAACTGCAACGCTTCAATGTAAGACAAAAATACTGCAAAAGATATAAATTTTTTATTTTATGTAATTTAAGAACAAAATGTCATAGAAAAAAATTCAAATGCAAATTTAAAGCACTATCTTTGTATCTTAAAATGCGTGGTCAAAAATTTCTCTATGATTTTTTGATTGAGATATTTAACTTTTCGTAAAATGCAACAAAAATATTATTATAGTGTCAAAATATTTATAAGTATTACTTTAGATACACCTAAAAATAATTTTGTTGGATCATTAAAAACTAAAATAATTACGCAGGAAACTCAAGCAATGCTGGAAAAAGTTTTGATATTCGAGCAACCAACTTGAGCGTTCTATTTAATTATTTTGATAAACCAACAAAATTTATTTTCAGATCGATATCTAGCTAAATTTTTAGATACTTCAGCAAAACCGTTTTTTCCGTGTTATTTTTAATAAATGTGACAGTTCCAATTGTCATCGTATTTTAATTAAATATAGAACGTTATAATACTTTTTAAAAAATAGATCATTCTCTCTGAGTAGTGATCTCTAATTCTCTTAAATCGTAATCTTCAATTGAATTGAAAATTACGGGATAACTATTATCCCCGTTCCAGTTTCTCTGTTGAACGAAACTATCACAAAGCATTCTTAATTACGGTGAGACGCTCTCAAAAGCGATTTAAGCATGAAATTAATGAGCGGAAACCAATCGCGATGATACTTCACGTTGATTACGATTCGTTACGGTCGCCTCGCAATTGAGATTGATTAAATGTATGTATTGCATCCTGTGTAAGTATATCCCTATTATAAATATCAACGAGCTTAAAATACCTCGGTTGAATAAAATACAAAGTGGTCCAATGTTTCTCTAGCAACGTTTGAACATTTTAAATATTATTCGCGTTTAATTGGAAAAGATATTAGGTGTTGGAATTAATTCGTAGCGTTTTACAAGTGATGGGAAGTACTTTCATTAATGTATTTTTTAATGCTCATGTGAAATAAATAACATTCTTTCATTAAAAAACGCTACGAATTAATTCCAACACCTAATATAATTCGTGTACATTGCTATTAAAGCTTAAACGGAAAGTTTCGATATAATATAATTAAATAACAAATAAAGTCTATATAAAAGCTAGCTATGAAATAAATCTCATCTTAAGATATATCAAAGCATAAAAATTCGAGTGCTTGATTCGTTGCGATCGATTTCAATCTATGTTCGAGAAAATCTTCATTCAGAAGAAACTGATCATTTTATATATAATTTCATAAAAATCTCGCTCCATTATTTTAAAGTTAACGCTTTCTACGCTATTGTCAAATATTCCCTACTCTCTAATTTTTCGAGTATCCCTCGGGCGAAGAGAAATTCGAAGTACGATGCATTAGCGGATAGCACGCAACAACAAGACATTTCGCTACACCTGAAACCCTCTTTCTCCCCAAGCCACTCACACGCGAACCTTTTCTTACAAGTTGCACTTTCGCATTTTTCTTTATCGTAGTATTTTGCTTGTACCTCCGCATCGTATCAACGATAATGCATATCAGATAATAGTAAAAAGATAGTGTTGGTGAATAAGATTTCGAAGGAAACGAAACATACATGAAACTGACTTTCCTCCCTCCGCCTGGCGTATCCGCGCAAATAACATTCGGACCTTAAATAGCGCGGCTGTGCCGCTCGAAAGGGTTAAAATGCTTGTGGCCGAAATGAAAAACGGAGGTCGTTGTGCGTTGTCGCCCCCAGCCAGAATGAAATCCCAAGCGTGCGAGAATACAATTCCCAAAATCGCTGCCTAAGGCGATGTTTACAATATAGACGCGTTCTGGCAAAATTCTTTCTCTCTCTCTCTCTCTCTCTCTCTCTCTCTCTCTCTCTCTTCACTGTTTGTTTGTTGGACGGCTAGAGCAATTAAAAACCTTTTAAATGTGCACTTTTGTTATCTTTGATCATCGTACACATCAGTTGCATATCACAAACCAAGGAAGTTTTAAAAATAGGTTTCTATTTACCTTTGAAGATTGAAATGTGAATTAAATGTTGAAGATGCAAATAAACAAGGAAATTTTGTACTTTAATTAATGATTTTAGCGATACTCTGATCCAAAATTTATTTTCCAAGATGTTTGCAAGGTAAGAATGATTGTACTAAGGTATCTAAAAGTTTAGCTAGATATAGATTTGAGGATAATTTTGTTAGACCATCAAAATAATTACATAGGACGCTTAAATTGCTTGCTAAAATTTTATAGTTCCTTGCAGCATCATTCATTATATTTAACGTTTTACATTATTATTTTGATGATCTAAAATTATTTTGAGATTCGTTTCTAATTAAATTTTTAGATTTTAAGCAAAATTGCTCTTTCTATGTGATATTGACAAATAAAAATTTACGATAAATAATGAGCAATTACCATAAAATTTTCATTGTATAAAAGAGATATTCTCTTCAAATACTCCACCTTTTCTGAGATCGAATAATTCGAATCATTTATTTTTCAAATTTATATTTTTCGGGTTTTTCAAACCTAATTAATATATAATTATTCCGAATCTGATTAGAGTAAAAATATTAATGAAAAGCGAAGAAATGAAAACTTATTATTACTTATTCTTGTTTGCAACAAGTACTATTCTTTATACAATTTTTAGATATTAATACCTGAACAATCGAGAACGTCGCAGATTGCGAATCAATGAAAGTTCGATCTCTATAAATCTATTCTAATTTATATTTTCATTTTAACTACATGAATTCCTCGAGAATTATTTCTACTTCGAATACTTCGGCAATACACGATTTACATAAATTTACCCGAGACTGACCAAGGTCGGCAACATCACTGGCTTTTCTTATTTCGAGTAAAAGGCGGCATGTATAAAAAAACTTCAAAGCTTTCTTCAAACCGAATACCATTGTCACATGTCTATACATATCAAACATGGTTAAATATGGTCAGTAAAAGAATTTCAATAATACAAAACATTATCAAATATCAGTTAAAAACTCACGTAAATTTAAGAGGAAAGGAACAAAAAGAAGAATAGAAATGAAGAAAGCGTGAAAAAATCAAAAGATTTTGTCAGTCATATCGAAAAAAAGATCCTTACTTTTCTTTCGTAGTCACGATTCGGCACGGCAAGCCAAGGTAGATCGGCTACGTGGGTGCGAAAGCTCTCGTCAAAGTCGAGCACCTCGGTTACGTTACTCCAGAGGACCACGTGCACCACCTCGAATTTCTTTTTCTTCTCGCCGCTACCACCGCCTCCGCCGTTGACACTCGCGTAAAGCTCAACCAGTTGACGAGTGAAGTCGTCGCAGGTCGCACCAGGATTCACGAAGCTGAAGTACATACCGACGATCTCGCAGGCCGGACGGCCGTCCTCGTGGACGAGAGTGGCGGCTGCCGAGTCGATTGACTTCCTCGTGTCATTAACGTAATTACAACGCGCGAGTTGCTTGCCAAACAGCCGGTGTTGCCAGCATAGTGGCTGACCGGCCGTTGACGAAGCCTTCCTGTCAGTACTCGCAGCTGATACCTGTTCGTTGACGCACCGTTCAGCCATCGCTCTGCGATACGACTGGCCTGGGCTAAAGAGTCTGAAGACTGAACCGCCTTGTTCGCCGGCGACGCGCGCCGACGAGGAGCCCCTCGACGGAGGAGGGGTTGGACGCCGCCAGACACTGCACCGCCGCAACGCAACACCACGTGTTACCAGCCAACTACAGCGACGGAAAGGCAGACGCAGACAGACAAACTGAATTACTGAAACTGAATTTGTATTTCGTATCATGCCGACTTGCATGCGACGATATTGTATGGAACTATATAAGCGCGCATCCGAAACGCGCATCTAAAACCGGCCTCCCAGCACGTTTGGCAGTATTGAGTGATAAATGTCTTTTTGTACTTTCATTTCGGAGCAAGGTACCTATATCTACATTTATTTTAGTTTTTTTTAACGTATTTAGTATTATTTATATTCCTCTTTTGGCTTGAATAGCTTTAAAGAGTTACTAACTTTCATTGTTCTCTTTTGTTATATTCCTGAAAAAAACTCTTTCTAAAATTTTCATACATATTTTTTCAGAATTTCTACACAGATTCTAGAATGTTTCTAAATTCCTGTTTTTTCTAAATTCCTAATTTCATAACTTTTTAAAACATTTTTTGAATTTTTTTATACAAATTGAAACACTTTTTGACATGCTAAGACATACTAAGAAAGTGTGTTTTCTAAAATTAATTCTTTATACATATATGTGAACTTTAAGATTTTTCACTCTATCATTTCTGAAGAAAATTTATAAAATGAAGAAGTTTAAGGTACTTTTCAGAATTTTTTATAAATTTAGAATATGAAAAATTTTTTTAAATATTAGAGATATTATGAGAATTTTTCATCGAAAATATAATTTAAAAAATGCTCTATTAATTTATTCGTGAGAGAGAGAGAGAGAGAGAGAGAGAGAGAGAGAGAGAGAGAGAGAAATAGAGAAATATGTTTTTTTTAAATATAGATAGATATTTAGATTATACACCTTGATATACATAAAACGATAAGTGCCTTTAATGATAAGTTGATAAGAGCCACATATTTTTATTATCTTACAGCAAAATAAATTCTTAAAAATATAAAATACGAATTAAAATTTAATTGAACGAATTTTAACCTCATTGTTCAACCGTTTTTTTTTTGTTGAAACGTAAACTTTCTGCTATTGGTGGAAAACCAACAATGCATTGACTGACAATGAGATGAAAGATTAGAAAGTTTTATATACTGCGTCCTTTATTTTAAAAATGTCTAAATCTTCCTGATCAGAATTAGCTCTTTTCTAGTCATAGATTTTGTAAGTTAGAACAGACGGTTTTTTATAAAAATTTTACGAAATAATTATATAATTATTATATAATATAATTTGCAATATAGAAGATTATTGTATATGCTACGTTGTACATATACATACATTATGTCTTTCGACAACATGTCATTATGATATGCAAGTTATCTGAATATATATCATTTTTTATATATACAGGGTTGGCCATATTCGACGGAAAGATGTTTTTTTTTCAATCGTGGGAAAGAGATGTTAGATCGAGTAACGACGTTTCCCATGATTGAAAAAAAAACATCTTTCCGTCGAATATGGCCAACCCTGTATATATAAAAAATGATATATATTCAGATAACTTGCATATCATAATGACATGTTGTCGAAAGACATAATGTATGTATATGTACAACGTAGCATATACAATAATCTTCTATATAAACTTCTATATATCTCATTGCAATTGTATCAATTATCATGGGTATCCAGAAGGGGGGCGGGGGTAAGGATGCGTATTGAATGAAAGCGCGTATTAAAAATTTTAAATACAAAAATACAAAAAAAAATAAAAAATAAAAAATCGAAATACGTATCTTTCTCGATATACACTTACCTTGTCGTGATAAGGAAGCTTTTAACTATTAAAAGGTATACACATTAGAAATAAAAAAGTGACGAAAAAAAAGTCATCAATTCGACACTAGGGATTGTAGGATCACTAAGGAAGAAAATATTTGAACATTTTTTCCTTACGTATGGTAAGATTGCTCCCCTCCCCCCCCTTAAAAAAAATTTTGCGGACGCCCATGCCAATTACAGACTTTCCCTAATTATGTCTGTTTTTCCTTAAATTTTTGACAATTATTATACAAAGTTACATATAGCCACCAAAGAAATTTTACACAAGAGTTTACATTTTTTACAGAAATGCCTACAAACATTGTCAATGAAATACCAACAGAAATTAAAAAAGAATTTGCTAATAGATTAATAATGGTTTAATTGCAAAATTTGTCATTTAAAAATTATTTTAAACAATATATTTCATTTAAATAATTATGATAGATCTTACTCAGCTTCTGTCGACACAATTTTCTCACAGAACATATATACATAAGCATAATGCGGACACTGATATTTATCTGTCACGATATTCGTGCTCAAATCTGCTGATATTTTACTTACTACGCATTAAGTATCGATTATTTATTACACGAGACTTTTTAAATGTATACTATAACTGTTTCCTTTAATTGAGATTTTAATTAAGACTTTTTATGATCTTGTTAAAATTCTCAATTAATCCTCTCTAATTATCAGCGGTCGTTAAACATAAGATTTAATTTAACAAAATGCCGCATTAATTCAGCATTCCTATCTTCAATTTGTGATTCCGTAATGACTATTATAATTATAACGTAATTATGATATAAATAGTAAAGTATAATATTGTAATGAAATTAGTAGATCGATATGAATAAAACATGTCAATTAAAAATTCGATTGAATGAATCTAATTTGCAATAATTAATTGTATTAAAATTTAGGATAAATTATATATGCTATATCGGATTTATTATATATGCTAAAAGCAACTGACAAATAAACTGACTAATAAAGCGAAAGATTAGAAAATGTTCATTTTCATTCCTTATTTTAAGAATTATCAATCCGGAAAAAAATGTTTCATATATTATTACATATAATTATATACAATTATATAAAATTATATATAAGTATGTAAAAAAAAATTGACATATTTTATATACAATTAAATATAATTATATGTATATAAAATATGTCCATATACAATTTTTTCCCAGGAAACATTGCTGGTTTTTAAACCCTGGGGGGGTTCTTTTTAGTCATAAATTTATGCAAATAATCAGTCAGCAGTTTTTTAAAATTTTGGGCAGATCTTTAACCGTGGCCATTATCACAAAAACGAGTGCGTAATGTTACATCTTAGGTTTATTCTTCAGCAGCTGCACCAATATATATATTTTTTATTTAAAATATAAAAAATAGGTGTATAATTTTAAATTTAGGAGGAATTAAATTAAGAGGAAAAAATGAAAACTAAATAGTATGTACAAAAAAAATGAATAGTACAAAAGTTCAAACGCAAAGAATAAACATCTCGTCTCGTTACATCATGGTTGCAATTGTGCTGCCAATCACAGCGTGATGACGTGCCACAGTTGGACAAGAAGCTGTGCACATGCAATGAGAATGTGGAGCAAAGAGCACACGTAAATCGCAATCACACCGGCGCTTACGTAAAAGGTCTAATTGAGCTATGAATAAGCAATATATTCGATGTACATACAATATACCGTGCATCAGGCATTGTCAGCCGCAATAAAATGCGAAATGCCATTAAATTGGATTCCAAATCATTTGATATCAGTTTATTTTTCTTTCTTGCATCCGACATGAAACAGACATATATCGATTGTTCGAGGAACAATTTTGAAAAAACAATAGGAAAATTTTGCAAAAACAAATGTATGGTATAGCAAGCACAATTTTCAAAACGAAATTAGAGAAAAAGACTCAAAAGTTCTTTTTTTTTTTAGGTAGGATAAAATGTACAGTGATTGACCACTTAAGTGCTGAAATTTAAAATCACTGAATTTATAATCACTGTAATCACTATTGAAATTATTAAAAATTTAAATTTAATGCAAAACGAACATTAAGTAAGGTTCAAAGAATATGTCAAACACAAAAAATTTTGAATAAGACCATGTTTTTCATTTTTTCCAATAGTAGAAATTTTTATTTAGAAAATACAATAATAGTTATTGACCAGAACTTTTACAGTTATTGAAAAGAAAAATAACAGTGATTGATCATTAGTGTGAAAATCATCAAAATGAAAAAAAAATTCAGAAAATAAAAAGAAGATAAATTTAATAAAATTCCAAGTATAGAACAGAGACTCATTGTTATTTCGATATTCAGTGGTTTATTTTTTCTAAATTGTTAAGTACGCCATAGATTCGTGCCACTTTATTCAGATGCCTTTACGAACGGCATCTTTAAGTGCCTCTTAAGTGTATTTCATTACTTTAGACATTTTGATGAAAAATTAAACCTACAATATTATAACATTTCAAAATAGTAATTTTATTCATAAGAAATAATTATCTAGTAAATAATATGTAAATTACATTGAATGGTCAATAACTAAAAAATGAATTGTAATTTCTCAATTATAATTATTGATCATCTTTTCATTTTCGTAATTATTGCATGAATTAAAAAAATAAATGTGAAAATAAAATAAAATAATGTAAAAGATATTCATAACCTTGTATTAGCGATATATGAACAAAAGTTATATCATTAATTGGTTCACAAAAATATAATGTATCTATTTGAATACGCTTGAATATATTTAATTAAACTGTTAAGTATTTCTTAATTATGTATTATTCTTGCGAGTTCAATTTACGAAAAGTAAAAAAACGGACTATAAATCTTTTATTCGTTTATGAAGTTAATAAAGATCAGTTATAATTATGTTGTGGAATTAACTGTTAATTTGACTTGGATTTTAATATGTAGACAAATTCATAGCAAATTCAATCACTGTATCGTGGTCAATCACTGTATACTTTACTTATACATAGTCAAATGTATTTTAATTTTAGAAAGATAAACATATTTAAACTGATATTCGTAGTTACAGATATTTAAGGTCTATTATATATCTTTGTAGCTAAATCAATGTATTGTTGTAAAATAAATATCTATATATTTGAAGTTTGGTGAAAGCGAGATAAAAGTTTTAATACAGTCTAATGATAAGTACAGTATTAAAGAACAAGCTTCTTATATTCGAGACTATCTTAAGTACTATCTTACTCTGAAACACTATACGATTCACTTCAGTGACTGATTGGCAATCTTGAGATTATTTATGACTATAAGTAATTAAGTGATTAAGTGATTAATGCTCCTTTTCATCATTATAGATTAAATTTAATCTCGGTTCATCTTACTCTTCATCTTTTATAATTTTTAGAACTAGGAAAAAATGAAGAATTAATTGAGGTAAAATTAAATTGTTGTGGAATTGCTGTGAAAATGAATTAATGTAAGATCTAATTACAGCAACATTCAGTTTTGAAAATTTGTAGCATACCGTTTAAAAGTTTGGAGCATTCTATAATTTTTTTAGATAAAAACAGGATCCTTTACAGATATAATTATCTTATTCGAAATACTTTTATTTTTTAATTTTATTTTTGAACCTACTAGAACTCTTGTAATAAAATTTATAATTTTAAATAATACAAACTTCTGTACATTTACAATGTTAAAATAGTTTTTAAATCTGATTAAATCTTTTCAAAATTTAAAGATGCTCCAAACTTTTAAATGGCAGCATAGATATTTTCACGGTTCATAGATATTTTCAATATATTAGCTAAATATTTAACGCAATCTTTATAGAGTAAATTCGATCACTTATGCTTGGCTTATGTTTCAGTCTTAATCTTAGTCTTAAAATTAGTCCTAACTTAATCTTAAGGACTAAAGTTAAAAGATAGGAACTTTTTTAAGACTAAGATTAAGACTATGGTTAAGACTGGGAAAGCATAAACGATCTTATGGCATTCTTTATTGCTAACTTTTAAGACTAAAATTAAGACCGAAGCATAAACCAGGCATTATTTTATGCTACATAAAATTAGTACATACTAAAAATAGTTATATAGTAGAAATTATAGAAAGTTAATTAAATGTGAAAATATATAAATATTTTTAATGATTAACTACTTAATAATGTTGTATTGTTATTTAACAAACTATACATGTATTTCATTGTCAAACTTGATTATATTATACCACTACATTTAGATACTTCGTACCTACAATATGTATAAAGCAGTCTTTAATAATGTAGTGTATGATTGAATTTATCATTAGAATGCTGCTCTTAGAAATCCATTGTATCCATAAAAGTGAAGTATACGTTTATTAAACGTGTGAAATTTAAAATATATTTCTCAAAGAATTTTTGTAAGTATATTATACAATTTATTTATTTTAACAAGGTTATATATCTACAAATAAAATAAATAATTCAATATTATATTTAAATATATTTATTGTAAGAAAATTAGCATTTTTTTAAAGTATCTCAAGAAATCAACACAAAGAATCTTCAGTGATTTGTACGCCAATGTAGTTTCATAATGCTTGTAAAGGTTCTAGAATTAAAGAAAATGGAGGTACGTAGAAAATATACATTAATAAAGTCGATGCGAAGAAAGATACCGTCGTTTCTCCACCGAGCTGTATTGATCGACATCGCAAAAAGCGAAGTGCGCAGATTGTTTAATTCATGTATTTATGTAGACTAATTTGCAGATCGTATCGATAAAGTTCAAGATTGAATGACGCCGAGTTATCGACTTATTGCCTCCCCCCCTCCTTCTCTCTTCCCCCTCCCTTTTCTCTTTCTCGCTGCATCACGATTCTGCGCATAACGCGAACGGTGAGAGGGAAAAACGGGAAGGCCTGAAATTAATTCGTTTAATTCGGAGCCAGATGGCTCCGAGTACTTGGAATACGTTCGCAATTATACGCGTGTAAATTTTTTCAACAAATTAGGAAAATCGAACCTCGTTAGATCGGAGAAAATTCCATTATAGAACGTCAAGGTTAATGATGCGCTAGTTTGCGGACCGCTGCGCCGGTCGCCGGTTTTAATCAATCTAGAATTAGCATCTCTTTCAGATTACGATACGCCGCTATGTAACGTACAGTGGCGGAGGCAGAGAAACGGACATTAAGATGGATATGTCAGTTAATATTAGAACGATCGTAGGTGGGGCGTGGCTGCCGCGATTATTAAAAATTCACACGTATCAACGATCGATCAGTCCTCTCAAAGTAGAGAAAGAAAAAAACAGAGAGGAAGAGGTCAACCGGCAGAATGTGAAACGCGATAACGAGAGAGCCTACGTATTTAATTGGACCTACGTATATACACGTGAAACGTCATCGGTCACGGCCGGCTGCGCCTTGAAAAAAAAAAAAAAAAATGCCGGACATTCCAGCGGAGCGCTCGACCGTCCGTTAAACCGAACGAGGAGCGGAGATTCATCCACGGAGAAACGTAAACTTAAAAAAAGTCATCGCCGTCGACAACATAGTACAACAGCAGGATCACGTTGAATCTCGTCGTGCGTCACACGACGAGGTATATAAGTATCTCTTTATCGATGCGCAGCGACACCGTCAGTTAAACGCAATGAGCAAGAGTCGAGGCTTCCTGCTTTCCTCCCCGGCTTCTTATTCGTCCTACCAGCGTCAAGCTTAGATCGCGTCAGTCGCGTCACGTTGCTGCGATCGTTGCGGTCGTTGCGGGCGCAGTTGCAGCAAGTTGCAGACGTTGCAGACGTTGCAGTCAGTTGCAGTTAGTTGCAGTTTGCAGTCGCGACGCGATCGGAATTGTACATGTGCGCGCGCGCGCGCGCACTTCTCCGTTCTATTTCGTTCTCTCGCGCTTTCCTTCTCTCTCGCACGCGCTTCGGGAAACGTGAACAGTGAGAACGAGTGGACGGCACGGGGTAGATCGATGGTGTGCGATCGCGGCCGTCCTTACGCGACATCGTGTCTCGTCCGGCTTCGTTGCGCGCGGCGATCCGCAACGTCGGACGGAAGACGGAAGTGATCGGCCGAGAAAAATAATCGGCGACGACGTGCAGCCTAAGCGCTGAAGGCTGAACTCGGCTGAAGGCTCTCGTGCGCCACCGGTTAGTTTGCGATGTGTCTCATCCACGTTTCTCCGTCGCGTTGCGACGCGCACTAATTACCACGTTAATTACCGCGTTGCCACGATGAATTGACACGTCTATCGTCGACCAGTTGTTGAAAAACGTGGCGACGCACGTTTCGCGTAGCAGTGAATACGACAAACGTAAACACGCACTGCTGCCTGTCTCGTGCGCGCGACATTTCTTCTGAGTTCCTGACGCGTGTCAGGCATTTCCACGACGATAAACTATCTAGCCATGTCTAGCTAGATGGACTATGAGGGACTACGTTCGTCAGCTTTGACGTGGAAGGATGTAGCGCGTGTCTTTATGTCAGGTTAAAATTGACGACAGTCGATCCTAAATTTTGCAATGAGCTCGCAACCGATTGTAGTGCCTGGTGGAGAGCATCGTCTTCAGCCGGAAACTCATTCTGTACCTGTTGGAAGTTCAGCAGACACCTACAAGACCATGACACCGCCAAACGTCAGCAGATCCCTAAGTCGTAAGTGTTACTTTATTTATATCTTGTTATTGTATTACGTATTGTGTTTTCACATTTTAATAAGAACACGTTAAATATGCAATGATGTCAAAATGTAAACAATTTGATTGTTACAAGACATTGTAATGATGTTAATGATTATTTTTGTGTCTTACTTAATTGTTATTTAATTGTAACGATTTAATTATTGATAATTAGCTCATAAGAAAATTGTGAAATTTTCTAAGAATAGCTGTTGAGTATACTTACAAAAAATATGAAATTGTACAAATTATTTCATATTAAAAATATGAAATAGAGAAGCGTAAAAATATGAAATTAAAAAAAAGCATAATTGTACATATGTGTACATATAAACATACACAAAGATTATGTGTGTATTTCCTTAAAAAAATTTATGAACTTTATGATACTATTTTATTGTAAGAACTTTGTCATTAACATCTGAACTATATCAATTACGAACAGATACATGTAATTATACGGCATGTTTTTACAAAACTCTTTCCTGTTATTAGTAATCTCAGATTCAATAGATTTATGTAACACTCACAAATTATATACAATTTCTAATGTTTACATAATGTCTATCTTTATATACACAGGTCAGAGTATTTATTTTTTTATGTATTACAGTTCAGTATTTATAAATGTATAATTTTCTTTAAAATACATTTTTTTTTAATCTTAATAATCACATTTTCCTAAAATATTTTAGACATTCAACAATGTCTTTTAGGAGGAAAAATAAAAGTAATATACATTTAATACTTTTAATATCTCTTTAACACATGTGACATACATTTAGTATAACATAACAGTTTTATTAAAATAATATTTATATATTGTTTGCGTGTCTCCCTTTTGCAACAGATTTCATATATGAAATGCTTAGTAATCCTGACAATGATATATCAGATGTATACTTATAGTAGCTTATTAATATGAATGAAATACATACTATAGCACGTCTGGAAAAATGGAAATCAATACTTGAGAGTGTAACAAACCATTTCTCATATTATAGTAGGAATCCCTATTCTGTTATAAGCACTGTAGTTAGTTGTGGATAATAACTTCTTCTTTACCCACTTTTCTATACTGGTTTTGTCCTGTCATATACTATACAATCAGGACAATGTGTGACTTTACATTGACTACTATAAGCCCTTGGATGAAATGCAAAGGTTCAGTTGGTGTTCTGGATAACATTTTTCACACAATGAGTCTCTTTATTAAACATTACCATTTTGTTATTCTTATACAAAACACGATACACAAATATAAAACAATAGGAAAAAAAACGTAGTGTGAAAATTATTTTACAAGATCTGCAAATATGTTTAAACTACTTTATTAATAATAATTTACATACACTAATATTTCTTGAAACATTTATTGAATTATTATGTATTATTGATTATGTTACTTTGAGAATAATGTTTAGTTCTTTTTTTGTAAATATTCGATATGTAATTTGCTTGGCTGCATGGAGCAATATGAAGCATGTTTTCAATTGCGCATGTATAATATAAATTAAGCATGCATATCTTTTTTCTTCTTTTGTATACATATATGCAACAAGGTAGACAAACATGCAATATCTCTCATTTAACTGCAGATTAATCGCGTGTTTTTGTAACTCTCATCTCGCCATCACATATAAGATAATAATACGACATTATTTTTATTATTACATATGTAATGTTATTGTTAATATTACCTATTTGTAATGTAGAAAATATAAATTCTGACTGTCTATACTGTTGACTAATCATTGAATAACTCTTCGAGAAACGATTTTAATGTGACGTAAGATGTGGTAATAAATATTGAGTGCAATTGAATGAGTGCTAAATATGTAGAACCAGCGGATCGACAACTTCGAAGAAGCAGCGTCCAAGCACAGTCTACACCATTACCTAAACTTCCATCAACTGAGTCCCTTGCAACAAGCATAAATATTACAGCCGGTGCACCTCCAGTTTCTCCAGGTATAAATCAAGAAATATTTTCGAAAGTAATACATCATTGCTATAGTTTGGGATAACTCTGAACAGTTACAAGCAGTTCTCCAAACTTGATTAATATTATAGGCTTTTATTTTTGCAATATAATGGATGCATATATGCTAGAAAAATTCTGAAATTATGTATGGCTTATATAGCTCTTCCTTAACGTTTGTGTTTGCGTCTCATTTTAATGCAATTTTCTTTACGAATTGTAAACTGTATAGTAATGTCATTTAACGCTTATTGTCTGCACTTTACATGATGCTTGTAAGGTAAGCTTCAGATAGCAAAAAATGTATTTATGTAATTAATATAGTAATACAAAAAAAGGACATACATATTGACCCTTATATAACTCAGAGTAACAACGCGATAATACAAATATTACGTCACATTTTATTGAATTGTTTGTAAAATTTGCGTAAAATTTAATTATCTTTTTTGGTAGATGATACTTATTTTTTAATAGAAATCTGGCATATTGCATGTGTCTTAAAATTTAATTTTTAATATTAAATATCTTTTTGTAAAATAGTGAATATTTTTTTAAGCATGTTTTTTGTTACATAATATTTAATTGTCTTGCAGATTCGAGAATTGATACATTAAAATTTTTTATATTTTAATAATTATATTTAAATCTGTAACTAGATTGCACAATCTAAATTCTAAAAATAAAAATTTAATTTAATTTAAAATAAAAAAAATTATTAAAACGTTTTAGTAAGATTTGATACAAATCTTGCAAAACATTCTATGTGTTATGCATATATTAGCATAATGGATACAATTTAATATAATAATAATTTTTCGAAAATTGATTTTTGTACTGTACGATTTAAAAATCATAAATGTACATCGAATCAGTAAATAAATACTGTCTGTTTAAATAGCAAGAATAAATAACTTTTAATATTGTATAAATATAATTTATTTATATATTAAACTCGTAAAACAAATCAAGATAATAAATTTTATTAGGATAGAGCGGGACTTTTTCGTTCATTTCTGACGATAATGTTTATATTTCTGAACAGAACTTGTTGATGATTTAAAAATTGTGCTTGTATGCCCTCAAGGAGCAATTATGATTATATTATATAATGTAATTATAAGCACGTCACTGCAAAGAGATATTATTTGCTATAAATTTTTATATTACTTTGAAGTTGAAATTGATAGAATAGCATTCTGGCCCTCGCCCTACCCTAATACATATTGAATATTATTACTTTATTTTTCTTTTTTGTGAAACACATGTTTTATAAATTTTACAATTATTCGTTTCAAATATGAAGCATATGAAATAGAATACTGATTATTTAAGCTGTCTGTTAATAAAAACTAATGTTAAATAAATTAAATATGAACTGAAATTTTTAAATTAAATAGATTGTCTTGATTTGTTTAGTTTATGATGTAGAAAAAAATAATATCTCTGTAACTTTATATATTAGATTCTATTTTAACTAGAGTTAAATGAATATATAGAATTTCATGCATGTATATAAGACAAATATAGAATAACATATTTGTACATATTTGCATTGTTTTATTATAAAGAGTGTGATTCCTTTAATTATTTTAATAATCTGTAAGTATGTATTATTTTTATCTAAAAATGCCACACTTGATTTTGTCTTATCCTTTATTTTTAAATTATTAAGTTTGATTTTATAATAAAAATTATGGGTTTGTTCATTTGTTAAAATATATATCTGTAAATTATAAGTGCATATTAATAAAATAATTATGCAAATAATATACCAGATATCATGTATAAAAATTAATATAATATAATCTTATTTTTAAATATCCAGATTAGATTATTTATGAACTAAAGTACTTATTGTAATGTATGCACTGTATTAAAATATTTATATAATAGACACTGTGTATGGTATATTAAAAATAATATATTATAAAAATGAATTTTGTTTAATCTATTAAAACTAAAAATTTTTTGAGAATAAAGAACTCTACGTACACATTCTATTTCGGCACGCTCTGATTCGCCTAATTACAAAGTATGATTATAAAAAAATAATTCAAAATTATGTATGTTATAGGGATCTCTGGTATGGGCGAAGGTAATCAAAAAATGGATAATTCATCAGACAAGGTAAATAATTCTGTATTCTTGAGATACAATTTCTTTGTTTATTAAAACTAGAAAGCTCTCAGAAACAAATTTTTGCAAAAGTTGCAAGTGGCAAAAGATTTGATGCGTAACTTTTATTCAGCAATATTTTTAAATCGTGTAATCAGTAAAAATAATTTATTCTTTTATTTATTTCTACAACTCTATTTTTACTTTATTTTTATTGAAATACGATAAGATATAATCTACTTTAATTTGAACTTGTATTTTTAATGAATAATATTTTAATAATATTTTTAGTCGTTAGATTCTTGTAAATTAACGCGAAAGGAATCGTATAAGGCTCAAAGAAAGAATTATCGAATGGAAAAGAAAAGAGTAGCCGATGAACTTTTAAGTTCTTTCAAAGATCCAACTGTTATTGTTATGAGTGATTGGTTAAAAGTTCGCGGCACATTGAAAAGTTGGACCAAGTTATGGTGTATTCTGAAACCTGGATTATTGCTGTTGTACAAAAGTCCAAAAACGAAGGTTTGTATTTGCATTTCTCTTTTCTTTTTAATTTTTTTTTTTAACCTTTCTTATCTGCGATATTTATTACAGAGTAATCATTGGGTTGGAACGGTACTACTCAATACATGTCAAGTTATAGAACGTCCGAGTAAAAAAGATGGATTTTGTTTTAAATTATTTCATCCGTTGGAGCAATCTATATGGGCTCCTCGAGGACCAGAAAAAGAAGCTATTGGTATATATGTCTCTATCATTATATACCTTATACCTATACTGTTTTTATGTAGCAATTTTTTTTGCAATATATTAATAGATAACACCTATAATCTAATCTTTAGATATAATAATGATATATGTACAACTGGGCGTGATTGATTCTCACCTATCAGTCTTAAATTCTGTGATTTTTTTAAACTTCTATAAGTAATAACCGGATTTTCAACATTTTGTGGAAGTTCTTATATTCCTCTCTGTAATGATGGGATTTTATATATATATATATATATATATATATATATAGACATATATGTAATATAATATATGTATATGTACTTGCACAATTTTACAAAACAAATTA